CAAAATTTTGTTTAGTTTTTGTTTTTTTTTTTAATGTGGTGCTGGGGATCCAACCCAGTACTTCATGCATGCTAGGCAAGTGCTCTACCACTGAGCTACAACAGCAGCCTGGGTCTCAAAATTTTTTTAAAAAAATCGTAAAAAGGACTGAGGATGTAACTCACTGGCAAACACTAGGTTCAATCCTCAGTGCCTAAATAAATAAATAAATGGCATTGGTATGTTAAAGAGCTAACACCAGATATCTAGTAGAGATTAAACCCAGAGCTTAGCACATGCTAGGCAAGTTCTCCTACCACTAAGCATGTATATTTCCAACCTAAATGTACATTCTTTTGACATTTTTTTTTGTACTAGGGATTTAACCCAGGGGGCGCTAAACCAGAGCCACATCCCCAGGCCTTTTATTTTTTATTTTGAGATAGGGTCTCACTAAGATAATCAGGAATACCCTAATTTGCTGAGGCTGGTTTTGAACTTGTAAATCTCCTGCTTCAACTTCCCGAGTTGCTGGGATTACAGGCATGTGCCACCACACCTGGCCTTTTGCCAGTCTTTTGAGGTGGGCCTTTTGAGTTGTAAGTCCAGTGATGGTAGTCTTACACAAAGTACACTTATAATAAATACATAATCTATAATTTCCAGTTTCAATATCTTTAAAGAGTAAAGTGAGAACTTAAAAAATACTTATTAAAGTTATAAATGAAAGTCTTTCATATTAAAAAAGAGAATTATAAGTGCAGAGGGTATGTGGCTCAGGACAGAGCACATATTAAAAGGCCCTGGATTCAATCCTTCCCATCAAAAAACATAAACACACACACAGTGTGTGTATATATGTCACCTTTCTATGGCAGTTAACTCAGTTTCATAAAATACATCTTTTTTATTTTTTTGTTCCAGGAACTGAACCTATGGATGCTTAGCCAATGAGACACAGCCACAGCCCTTTTTTATATTTTATTAGAGATAATGTCTTGCTGAGTTGCTTAGGGCCTTGATAAGTTGGTAAGGCTGGCTTTGAACTAGGGATCCCCCAGCCTCAGCTTCCTAAGCCGCTGAGATTATGGGTGTGCGCCACCATGCCCGGCTCAAAAAATAAACCTTTCATTTCACTATCATATTTATTGGTTTATGCAACTCTAAAGCTATGCAATTACAATACAAATCCAGGGTGTAATAAAATGATCCTTGGCAAGTCTATATTTCCTCTAGTGGCAGCAATGCAGTGGACATCAAGCAGTACAGCTTATAAGAAGAGGATGGAGAATGTGCTAAATTGCTTAAAATACAAATTTGTTAACCAATATTATAAGTTCAAGGCCAGACTCAGCAATTGAGCAAGACCCTATCTCAAATAAAAATTAAATTTAAAAAGGCTGTGGATGTAGCTCAGGTTTTAAACCCCTGAGTATTATTCCCCGTCCCTTAAAAGAAAATAAATAAATAAAAAGGATTGGGAATGTAGCTCTTTGGTAGAGCTCCCCTGGGCTCAATCTCTAGTACCCACCTCCACCCCACACACTAAATTTACTTCTTATTGTTTCTGCTCTTCCTGGGACAGTACTGGGCACATAGCAAGTTCTACAACTATTTGTTCAATGAAGTATGGTTAACAGTACATGCAAGGTTGGGATTCCATTTCCTTCAGTCTTCAAAATCACAGAGACTACCTATACTTAAATTTCCAAAAGGGAACAGAGTAAGGAATATAAACTGTAACAGGTCCTGATAGAAAACATATGAATACAAAATGTAGACAGTTTCACATTACCAAAAGTGGATAATCCAGTGCTTAAAAGATGGTATCTTATAAAAGAAGTAGAATAGCTCAAATATCAGGTCAATAAGAAATAATCTTATCATGTCAAAACTAAGAGGGGCAGGTCAGGTGGGGTGGTGCATGCCTATAATCCCAGTGGCTCAGGAGGCTGAGGCAGGAGGATCAAGAGTTCAAAGCCAGTCTTAGAAAGGCACAAGGCAACTGAGTGAGACCCTCCCTGTCTCTAAATAAAATACAAAATAGGGCTGGGCATGTGGCTTAGTGGTTGAGTGCCCCTTAGTTCAATCCCCAGTACGGGGGGGGGGGGGGGGGGGGGGGGGGAGACACTAAGAGGAGCAGGTATACTAGGGCATGCCTGTAATCCCAGGAACTCAAGAAGCTGGGGCAGGAGGATTGCAAGTTCATAGCCAGCCTGGGCAATTCAGGGAGACCCTGTCTAAAAATTAAAAAACAAAAAGACTAGAGATGTAGCTCAATGGTAGAGCACCCCTGGGCTCAATCCCTGGTACTGCCAAAAAAACAAACAGGATGGTTTCTGGTTTTCCTAAAAAGTGGCAGGTAGAGAAGGAAAACAAGCTGCCATAGATGTCTCAGTGCGTATTAGGCTTCTTTCCCATCCTCAACCACGAACAACAGAAAATATCAATATTTTAAACAAAAATCAAAGCCCCAAACAAATGAACTTTTGGTTTACCAGTTATTATGAAATAAATATGTAAATATAGAAATTAAAGGCATACAAATGTACTATATAAGAAAATAAAAACTTGCAAATAAAAAACCTAAATATAAATAATAAGTATCTTAAATATAAATAAATGTGGTGGTTTGGCCATTTCATTTTAGCCTAAGTTTTGTGAAGTATTTCTAAGTTTAAAAAACTTGGAGCATTATGACAGAAGATCTATAACAACTAGGAAGTTCAAAGACTGTAGCTACTTATAAAACTCTTGCCCTTGTCCACTAGAAAAGAATCCACAGTGGCACTGCCTTTCTTCCTTCTAAGTACTGAAAATGTTATGAATAGTTAGGAGAAACTTAAGAGATAGCCTGTGAGGCTGCACCAGTCCCACTAGATGGCACTATCACAGGCAAGTCACTCTGCTCTCCCATTTGAAAGAGCAAAGGCTGAAATCTCTTGTTGATCTTAGCAAACCTGAAAGCTCCCCAGTACCAAAAAAGCAAAAAACAAACAAACAAACAAAAAACACTAAATAAAACTGAAACTGTCATCTATAGTGATATCCTTATTGGGAAACTATGATCCGTAACAATAAATTCAAACCCAAGAGTTTCTCCAAAAGCATCCTTTTTACCCAGTCCTTTTTACTTCCCCTCTCCATTTCTAATCAATGGTCTGATAAATATGTCTCATAGGCAACAAAATTCATATAAAATGGATATTTTCTTTACTTCTTCCTAACTCTGGAAAACAATACTCTCCTACTAGTCTTTGAATAACATTTATTGTGATAAATACACTATGACTTGAACATCAAAATAACATACAATTAATGGAATAAAAACAACAGGACTTAGAGGAACTTCTCTCTCCACAGAGAACATCTTTCTCTTTAGGTTAAAGGTATAACTTCTTATTAAGCAGGATACTGCTTTCAAGTCTTCTGACCCCTTAGTTCCATGATTCTAAATTGGGTTGAAGCAGCAAATTCAGAATACCCTCATTTCCGTTACTTATGCCCCACTCCATCAAAAGTATTCTTGGATATAGCCATTAGGAGTCTAAAAGCAGAAAGAAAGAAAAACATCCTAACAAAAACCAATGAGTTTAAACTGCATACAACTCGAACACCAACTTTCTAATTTACTCAATAGGGAACCAACTGAATATATAGATTTGGATGTAAGCCTTATGCCAAATTCCCATGTTAAAAGACACATCAAAAGTCATCAATAAGTAATCAACTGAACCATGGATCAATTTAATATCCAAATACACTGCTCATTTCTATCTGAAGCTACTTCACCTAGGTCAGAGAATTTATGTCTATCCATATGAAATTCAAAACACAATGCTCAAGAGTAGCCACTCCAAAGTGCCACCAAAAGTCAGTTATTTAATTAAAGTGGCAAAGAAACCAAAAATGTGTAACAAATCCTGGGTTCCTAAGCACCTTGTCACAGCTCTAATGCAGCTCTCATCAAAATATCATCTCTCCTCACTGACTGGCGTTCTCTCTTTGCACAACGCCTAGAATACTATAGGCACTCAATAACTACTGAATAAACAAAAACTATAAGTTTATCCCAGAGCTCACCAAAATTGTGTGATCCATCAAAGAAGTTATGTTTTCCAACTATAAACATTCACTTAACATTCACTTCCCTGAAGAAGCAACTAACCAAAGCATGAAACCTAGGTTACCATGAGATAAAACTTCTTGAAAAACACAGAAAGAAATGTATCATATTGGTTAAAGATCAAAAATTCACATATTCACGTATCTCAAGCCCAAATAATCTAACAATCATGGGTCAGTGAAGTTTTTAAATAAAGCATCATACATACATACACATACACACACACACACACACACACACACTCTCTCTCTTTATATATTGCACTAAAATCATCCCATGGGAACAGAGGGGCGAACTGGCAAGTACATAAGGATATGCAGGCAGCCATAGCACTGTTTGACATCTCACCTGCCCGTTAATGGGGCCTTGAACTTATTTTACACTCCCACAACAAAAACAAAAACAATGAAAAGGAAGGAAAATAAGAGGAGAGAGAAAACGGTCTGGGGTGCAACCAGGAGGAATCAGCTAAGCTGCAGAACTGAACTGAAAGATTTCACAGAGTAAGATTCTTCAATGCTATATCATATAACTACCCAGTAAAATCAGTGTAATAAAACTAGGCAAAGCCTTGTAATTATTTTTTTTTCTGAGTAGCTGAGAATTTTTAACAAAATATGGCATAAATTCTAGATACACATTCTATCGGTATCCTTTTAACAAACCCTTCAAGAAACTTCTCCTGTATTTGAAGGGGGAAAGAAGCATATACTCCCATATAGAACACCTTCAAATACGCTACTGGAAAGACTGGCAGGATTTAAAAGTTCAATGGAATCATGAGACAAATTTTCCCTGCACCCATCAGTATGTTTCACCCAAACTGCTCTTAATCATTTTTTAAATGTGTTTACATTAGACTACCAATAGTGTTCATCATCGTCATTTTACTCACCTTACTAACACCAACTCCAGTAAACCTGGCCTCTAATAATTCCTGCCGTCGTGGGTCCAGGCTATGCAATTCTTCCATCATTTCTACTGAAAAAGAAAAAATAGACTGTAAAAACCATGAAAACTAAAATGTGAGGAACAAGTTTTATTACAACAAAACTCAGAGCAGTTATTTCATTGAGTAGCGACACACGGTAACCCTCAAAATAAAAAATAGAGCATAATAGTAGTTAACTATAACGCACTGCACCAAATAATTATTTGACATTACCAATATATTCAAAGTTCTATAGCAGCTTGGAAGTCCTTGTCTATGGGGGCAACTTACTCTTATCCCAAAAAAGAAAAACTACAAACCATTCATACAACATCTGTAAAAGTAGTAGAGGAAGAAAAAAAAAAAACATGGATGAGCGGGGGTGGTGGCACACACCTGTAATCCCAGCAACTTGGGAGGCTTGCAAGTTCAAAGGAGGATTGCAAGTTCAAAGCCAGCCTCAGCAAAAGCGAGGCGCAAGGCAACTCAGTGAGACCCTGTCTCTAAATAAAATACAAAATAGGGCTGGGGATGTGGCTCAGTGGTTGAGTGCCCAAGTTCAATCCCCAGGACCAAAAACAAAACCAACAACAATAAAACATGGATGAGCTTGCAAAAAGAAATTTACTTCTAACAACCTTTGTATCTTTGAATTCTAGCTAAGTATTTTCAGATATTTCTTTCCCAAACACACAGGAACTAGTTCTTAAACTAAAAATATGAATCATTAATAATTTCAAAATATGGCATGAATCAGAAGCTACAAATTACTTCAAATAACACTATTATGTAGCTCCTTTCTCTGAAGAGCTCACAGTACCTCATGAAAAAAATGAATTATTTTATTTTAAATTTAATAGACAACTAAGGTAAAATCCTCAACTTGCATTCACTCAGGAAATTAATATAGCTCCGTAACAATTTCTTAAAAAAATCTTTTTCTGACCACTCCCTGAAGCAGTGGGTTTCTCTTCACTCTGGACATCTGCTTTTAGCACTCCTTCCAAGCAGGGAGGGGCGGGAGGGCACCATTTTTAAACTCCTTCCTTGACCAGTTAATGCACAGGCTCCTTTGAACAAATGTGTCCATCCTTTGCAAGAGATCAACTCTTACACCATGCACCGAAAATCTTTAACATTAAAAGTGGGAAAAGAGTATGTTATCACTACACGGAACCGTTCAAACATACTATTAAGCTGTTATTAGAATGACTGGTGTGATTTTAAAGTTCACAGAAAACATGAATCAAATATTCCCCTCTGCAATCTAACAACTCCACAATTTCCAGTAACAGCCCTACAAAGTCCTTCAGTTTCGTTTCCCTTCCTGGATTGAGAGCATGGGGCAAAGGGGAATGAAAGGGTGACAAGTTAAAGTTTCACCCACACCTAAAAGTGCAGGTTAAAAAAGGAATTAGGAAATTCTCAGAAGGGTAGAAAATCATCTTTTTTAAAAAAGAAAGACGGAGATTGAACGAGTTTTCCCTAAGTAGGTAAGTGCCCTTCCCAGCGTCTCGCCCGGCCCTAATTGGGTCGGAATCGCAGAGGTTGCAGTCTCTCCCCAACCCCAAGGTCTCTCGCAACATTTCCCAAATCTTCATCCCCAGGCCTGGCCCAGAAAATGACGCCCCAGCGGTTATTCCATTTAATGTCAACTCATGTTAAGGAAATATCCACTCCGACTCATTCCATCGCGGCTTTGGACAGGGATCCTCCCTGCAGCCCACAGCCGCGAAGCAAAACCGATGGGGCCTGGTCCCGGCGCCCCTCACTGGCTCCAAACTTTCCCCAACTCCAAGCCCACCTGTCACGGAGGGAGGGAGGGCCAGCTCTCGGGGTCGCCCGGGAGACTGCCGAGGCCTCCAGCTGCCGAGGCGCCCCCTCTCTCCGCCGGCCGCTGGCCCCACTCCCAGGCCTGGGCCTGCCCCATCTTCGGCCCGGCCCCTCGGCGACCCGCAGCCCTTGGGGAGTCCCTCCCGCCTCAGCGCCGAGGAGATACGGCCCGGCGCCGGTCCCGGGCTGGGCCCGGGTGGCAGCCTCCTCAGGCCGAGGGGGTCTGCGGGACGGTTAATGCCCCAGGCCCAGCGCCCTCCCCCGCCCGGGGCTCAGCCTCTCACCTGCCGCTGCCGCCGCTGCTCCACGCTTCTCCCGGGAGGGGCCCCGACCCGACCCGGCTGCGGCCGCTCCGCTTTCCCCCTGGGCAGGCCCGGGGCGGAGCCGGGGCCTCTCCTAAGCGCCTCAACCCCCCGCCCGGGCAGCCGCCGCCGGCGCCCGGCTCCACGAGAGGGCGGGCGGGGGAGGGGGTCGCGGAGGCTGCGGATCCCCGGGCTCGCGTACAGAGCTAGGCGCCTGACGCGGCCCCGGGCCCGGGCGGCCGCGGGGGGCGCGGGACCGGCCTCCTGGCGCCGGACAAAGGCCAAGGGAGGCGCAGGAGGGCCCAGGCCGGGCCGGGAGGTGGGGGCCCTCTCGGCTGGGGGCCACTCGGGTGCGGCGCGGAGGGCGGGGGGGTCGGAACCGCTGGTGCCCAGGGCCCGCCTCCGGCCCCTTAATCCGGATCGGTTCGGTCCGGATTAGTAGTGATCGGTGTAAACACACTAGTGAAAGCGCGTGTTTCCTCGCGAGATTTGCACGGCTGGGAGGCGGGGGGGGGTCCTGGGGGGGGGGGAAGAGCCGACAGTGGGGGAGGAGGAGGAGGGAACGAGGAAGGTGGGGGGGTCCTCGCTGCCCCGGCGCCCCGCCTCCTCCAATCAGCTGCCGGGCTGGCGGGCAGGGGTTAACCAGGGGACCCCGCGCCGGCGAAGGAGGCCGCGCCTGGCCGGAAGACTGAGGGCGGGCGACGGGCGGCGCCGGCAAAGCGGCCGCGACGCGAGGGGCGGTCGGGCGGCCCGGGTCGCCCTGCGTCCCGCCGGCCCGAGTCCGAGTCCCAGGGCCCCCACCGCCGTCTTTGTGTAACCGGCTCCAGGGGCTCTGAAGGGACCTCGCTGTCGGGCTGGGCCAGCGCCCGCTTAATCCTTGATCTGCACAAGTTTGGATGCGAAGTGAGGTTGCTCTGCCCAGGGATGAATTTGAGAGGAAGAAAACCCTTGAGCCGGCGGACCCAAACCGGACTTCCAGGAGACACCCGGCTAGTGAGTTCGCTGTGCCCAACGTGTTCCCGTGCTCGCTGGCCCGCCACTCTCCAAAACCATGGTCCCTCTTCCAGACCCCAGCCGGACGCCCCGGAAAGCGGGCCGCACTTGCCTTCCACATACCTGGTGGGCAAGGCGTCTCCAGGGACAAAAGGTGCTCTGGGATCGGAGAGGAGCCCCGCCAGGATGCTGCCCTCCAGAGGCAGGCCACTGCCCCCAGGGGACACTCCCCGGCACCCAGGGGAAGGTTCTATTTCAACCTCGGATTAAAAACAAGGCCCTCCGGGTACTTGGGGAGGGGGCTCCGATAGTGCTAGGATGGAAAAACAGTGTCTCCTGAGGAATGAGGTAGGGTGAGTTTTTGTGCCCAAGGTGGGCTTCCTGCATGGAAAAGGGTTCCCTCTCTGACCCTCAGCACCAAAGAAAAAACTACACTTTCTTCATTGATTTCCATGAATCAAAACACTGACTTCAGTGCGGCTACCCAACATTTTTTCTCTGTTGCTTCTTTGACCAGATGACTGAAGGACTACCAACAAATCACAAGGGGAAAGTTCAGACCTTGAACTTTTCCAGGGCTAGGCAAGTACTCCAAGTGGAGTTTCTGCGCTTAATTCTTTCTTACTCCTAATTCTTCCGTAAATTAAGAGGAAACAGACTTGAGAAATGGGGAAAGAAAGGCAGTTTTACTTTTTGTTAGTTCTCCAACCTTCCAAAATCTTGGGGCAAACTCAAGCCCTATGGAAAAACTCAAACCAGGAATCATTTTCCTTATTGTCCCAGACTACTTGGAAAGTTATATACACATATTTCTGATAACTCTTTGAAAGGCAGAAGGAGAATATCAGCTGCAGAGGTTGGGGAAAAGGGCAAGGTGGAGAATTGAGTACAAGCTCCGCCTGTTAGAGCAGGAGAAGCAAAGAGGGATAATGTGGGCCTGCTTCCCACTGCAGCACCAAAGGAAAGCAAATGAGGCAAGCTCTTGCATTACAGCCAATGATCAAGAAGGTAACTCCTTAAAATTACACTGTCGTAAATTAGAAAAGAACATAAAAGAATACAGCTTGGCACAGTGGCACTTGCCTGTAATCCCTGCTACTTGGGATGCTGAGTCAGGAGGATTACAAATTGGAGGCTGTCTAAGCACTTCAGCAAGACTCTGCCTCAAAAATAAGATAAAAAATAAAGGTCTGGGTATGTAGCTCAGTGGGAGAGGGCTTGCCTAGCCTGTACAAGGCCCTGGTTTCAATCCCCAGCACTGCGATTAAAAAAAAAAAAAGACAAACAAGCACTAGCCAGTTTTGGAACTGAGTTCCAGCCCAGCTCTTCCATAGACAGCTTCATGAACCTATTATCTAACCTTTTCAGCCTTTACCAACCTCATGTGTGAAGAAGGGATTGGAGCTAGAGAATTTCCCAAGTCCTCTCTAGGTAGAAAAGTCCAGGATTCTATTTTTTAAAGTAATTATGTAAGTAATCTTTGGAACACAGAGATGAGTTGTTTTTTTTTAAGTATTTTTTTAGTTAGACATAAAAACGACATCATTATTTTATTTATTTTTTTATGTGGTGCTGAGGATCAAACCCAGTGCCTCACATGTGCAAGGCAAGTGCTCTCCCACTGAGTCACAACCCTAGCCCCAGAGATGAGTTTTTACTTTCACTTTTCGTAGTTCATTTTTCTCCACAAGTCAAATAACTTACACCATCATATGTCTACTTTCAGCCCCACTTTAGGCCTAACATCACCCCAAAAACAGCTGCTTGGGAGAATTTTTAATGAGTTTGCTTACCACAGAGTTTGAGTGCTTTCATGTATTAAGCATCCACATATTAAACATCATATAAATGGAAATATTAACAGAAAGGCAAGAGAATATAGACAATAGATCTCACCCTTTCCCAGAGGAAACAGGATATTT